AAGGATTTCCGGCTCCTGCCGTTAATACTTCCCCAACTTCCATCCAAAGGCTTCACCTTTAGGATAATGCCTCCCTAAATACATCTCAGAGCTTCAAGCAGCCTCACACAGCCTCTGCAGAGAACAGCAAGGAGCAGAAGCACGCTCCCTGCCTCCACGATGCTGCCCACAACTCAATCCAGACCAGCAACAAGGACCAAAACTACAGAGCTTCATCTACAAAGCAAAGATTGCTCTGCCTCTCCTACACCAGCTTACCTGCCCGGGACCTGCATTAATGCTATCAAAAATAGGACTATCACATGCAAGAGGAAAAGATTAAAAAAAAAAAACACAACAAACCAACCCTGCCAATCTGCAGTGATCTTGGCATCCTCAGCCATCAATACCAGTTCATTAATCCCTGTTGGGAACTGGAGCTTGATTCCCACTGGACGGTCCACACTCGTCCGACTGCCCAAGCTGCGGCCCTTATCATTCTGAGAGCTTGTTGATTTGTTCTCTGAACTACTTTCTGCCTGCAAATGCCTGCCTCAAATCACCGCAGTCAGCATCTGTCGGACAGTCAGTTCTACCCCTCAGTATATACTCAGGCAACCAGCAGCCCTTTTCCTGCAATGCCTCCTTCAGCCCCGTGCGGCAGACCGCAGGCCTGGGCTGCCCCTTTCCTCCTACATCCCCACGTCCAGGAAAGAATCCACAAGAAGAGACCCGAGTGTTGTACGGCGCCAGAGCTGGGACCACGGGGAAGCCCTCTGAGCTTAGGTCAACCTTCCTGATGGCACCTCACAGGCACCCCTGACGAGCCGTCCTGTGTAGCGAGTCACAGCCAATCTTTCCCCCCTCACGTTTATGGATCCAGCTCAAAATTGAGTGGTTTAGGACAGAGCCCAAGGATACACCTGCAGCAAATTTACCCCTTTTGCTACCTCCAGGATTTGGGGTCGAGACGTCCACGTTACAGTACCCAAGACCACTATGTTCACAACAACAAAAAAACGCTCTCCAACTTGGCACCTTGCGCTTTCACCTCCACCGCACCAAGACTTAACCTAGGAAGCAGGAAAGCAGCCAGGATCCTTGGGACAGGACCCAGCACGCGTTCAGAGTCCAAACAGTAAAAGCTTTTCCTGCTGTCAGTGGTTCACCTCCAAAAGGAGATCTGTATCGAACAGATACAACCTTGGAGCACACACTCAGCGCTTCATAAAGTGGTTTCAACAGCATGGCAGTGAGAAAGAGCAGGAGTTGGGGACCTGCAGAAGGAAATAGTGCAGTATCCCCAGCATCCACAGGGCCCAGCCTCACATCACGGCACCTGACAGTCAGAAGCAGCATTTTCAAGAGGAATACGGCTCCAGACGGCACGGCCAACCCACTCTCCTGCCTGAATAGGCAGGGGATAGACGCTCTACAAGCAGCTTTCCTCCTCCCACCAAAACCCGGTACTGCCAAGAAAACCTGGAGTTTCAGTAACAACTCCCATGCTGATGTCAGCTTTCGAAGCCTAGCCGGAGATTCCCTCGGTGCGGTACTAGCGTGATATCGAGCACAATCGACCCTGCCACTGGCAGACACAAAGATGACCTGGGTCTTCTTAACCACCGCCTCACAAGCCCCCTTTCTGTGCGGCCTCAGCAAAGCAACAAAGCTCATCACACCCAAGAGACGTGACCAAGAACACCTACCCCACGACGGCTGTATCTGCCCTTAGCTACGATGGTCAGAAAAAGCTCAGAAGAGCGGCAGCGGACACCTTCTCTACAGAGAAGATGCCAAAGATTACCTGAGGTGCCTGCGTCTGCATTGGCTGTTCCTCGAGCTGGGGCTGGACAGTCCCCATCGCAGCCTGGCTAAGCGTGGTCATGCGGTTGGGCTGCCCACGCAGCGTCACAGTAATGGTCGTCGGGGCCTTCAGGCCTAGAAAAGACACGAGCGAGACGTCCCTGAGACACGGGGACTGTGGAGGCCGTGTTCACCAACCAGGGGTGCATCAGAAGCATCTTCCCATTAGAAGCAGTTGCTCAGAAATGGCAGCTGTCCATAGCTACGGCTCAAAGGCAAAATAAGCTTTGGAAATACCGCTCTTGGCGTGACGGGGTGCTCCAGGTGCCTGCATTGCACACCTGTCCCCCTTCTCCCTCACCTGCCGCCTGGTTGGAGATCTGAGCCAAGCCAGGGAGACTGCTGGCCAGCTTCGCCAGTCCCCCGTTTGTCAGCAGCTGATGAATGGCCGTGGGCTTCCCGCTCGCTGAGGCTCCCAGAGACAAAGAGGTGGCAACCGGGATGGTGCGGACAATTGTGCCGGTGCCCGTGGTTATGGCACTCAGGTTCTGGATAGGCGCGGGTGTCTTCACAGCTGAGGTCTGGAAGGAGAAGCAGAAGCACTGAGTACCTGGAAGGAAAGGGGATGCTGGGATGGCACAGCCTCTGCCTCCCGCAGAACCTAGAGGTCTTCAGAGGTCAGAGATTCCACAGTTCGTTCAGGTAGCCACAGCAGGTCTAAAGGGAAGTAAAACTTGTCCCTTCCAGTCTGCACACACTCATTTCAACTGAAAGCATGACTGGGAGAAACTGTGGCTCCACTTCTAACAAAGCCACCAATTCTGAATGAGGTCACCTTAAACTGAAGGGACGGGCAGCGTTGCCCGAGAGGTCACAGGCATGCGTTTTCCCAGAAGAATAAGAAGGAGAAAGATCGCTGATCCTCTCCAGTCCATTCTCCAACTCCTTCTCAGCATTTTCTAGGTGGCCATCTAGAAACGCCATCCTACAGCCCTGTTCCTAGACCTCATGCCACTTACAGGAACCCTTAGCCCCCGGCACACAGCCAAGGCTTGGAAGCAGCATTTCAGCTGCAGTTCACACCTAGCATCCCTCATCTCTTCTGCTCCTGGAGCAAACAGGGCCCATCGAGGTTCCCTCCGACTCCTTCCACTCTGTTCTCCGTACAGCTTCCCTCCAGAGAGGGATCTCCGATGTCTGCAGGCGCATACCTGCACAGGAGGCCCGGAGGCAGCCACGCTGGCAGGAAGGGTTGATGACTTGGTCCCGATGTCCTGCAGGCTGAAGCTCAGCCCTTGCAGCAGGCTGCTGGCAGACGCTGCTCCTAAAAAAAAAAAGTAAAGAATAAAATCAGGCTTGGAGAATTCACCAGCATGAAATTCCAGGTCTGTCATATGGCAGATATCTGCAAAACTGTTCTTTAAAGAGCAGCATCCCAAGGAGCCTGCCTCGAGGTCAGTGGGGATCCTCCCAGCCACTCTGCGCACACAGTCCAACACATTTCATTGCCGCAGCTACACCTGAGGTTAGCTGGGAAAGCCGGGAGGCAAGAGGAGGTCAGTTTTGGCATCTCAAGGCATCATTGCGTACAAATGAGGCAATTAACAGGTCACCTACTGCGCTTTGACATCATCCCACTGGATCTCTGCAGGCTCTGCAAGGCCAAGCACTCTACAAATGCTGCCTCGGCCAAACCCAAGGCAACCAGGGAATGCAAGAAAGAGGACCCAGCAAATTATTTCGAACCAGGTTTACCTTTTACATTCACAAGAGAGACATGGAGAGAGGCAAGTACCTTGGAGGGTACTGGCTGGCTGGGCCTGCATGCAGTGGGCGCTGCTGGCCACCAGTCTGCTCTGCAGGGCATGGAAAGCGCTGGGTGCCGTGCTGCTGGGGATCACAGCAGACGGAGCAGGGCTCGTGGAAGAGGGTTCTGCTGCCGAACTCAGCCTACAAAGCAAGCAGAAGAGAAAAAACTCCGCTTAGTGATAAGCTGCACAGGGCACTGCGAGACGGCTTTGACAGCGAGCTGTCACTGCCTTAACGCAACCAAGCAGGACTCCTGGAAGCGTAAAGCAGGGAGCTGACGAGCTACAAAAACACAAAGCGAGAGAAGTTTCCCTGTGTCCACTGCAGCAGCAAGAACAAGGAGCAACTACGGCAAAATCCGACTATTTCCAAACTGGACGTGAGCTTGTTAAATGTGTATGCCCACCTAGGTGCTGCAAGGGCTGTGTCACCCTACACAAAAGCAATCTACCTTGCAGTGACACATTTCCTGTTTAACACCTGCTTTCTATTCGGGAACAGCTCTTCTCCTCTCCTCTCCCAGATCAGTCAGAGTCCAGTTCTCCAAAGCTTGGTTTGAATTAAAAGGGAAAACAGTGATGCGAGATGTCAGCATCAGATTCATTCCCCAACAGAAATCTCTACTGCCAATTAATCAACTTCATGAGCCGACATTGAGGCTTCTTTCCCCTGTCTTTGCTAAAAAGTGCTTGACTGTCAGAGGGAATGAAGGGAAGGATTACAGACAACACTGAATTTCTGGCCAGGACACCACAATCACTCAAAAGACAGAGATAAGCAAACATGGATTTGGGAAACCATACAGAAATATAGCCCAACAGCCACAAAACCTTCTACTTCTGCCTATTTCTGCCGTTCTCAGACTCAACTGCTGAGTTTTCAGGAGCCGAAGAGTCCCCTGCACGTCAGAAAATTCCAGCCATAAGCAAGATATCAGAAAGCTCCACATGCAGAAATCACCCTGTTGCAGTGCTTCCCATCAGCAGCCTGTCAAAAAAGACCCACAGCTTATAAAAACCAAAAAGTCACACTCACTTGGGGGCGGTGAGCAGTCCTGACAGCTCCTTTGCGCCCGACACAGACTGGCCGACAGCCATGGGGACCGGCTTTCCAGCGACAACTGCAAAAGAAAGAGAAGAAACCTCATTCTCTCTCCTCCACAAGTCTTTAGGGATTCCCCCTCTCTCACACAACTACCCACAGACACAGCGCTGCAGGCCATGGGCTCATCCTGCTCACAAAGCATCTTCTCAAGGAAAGCTCCGCTGCAGCCACAACCACACACTCCGGCCACCGTGCTACAGGAGATCGGGAGTATCAGACAGAGCAGAGTTGCGAATAAAACCGGAAAGCTGCTGTTGTGCAAGTGTTACGATGGATGAGATTGAAGGCATCACCTTCAAAATCTGTAAGCAGTGAATTCTCAGGCCCTCACCACCAAATGCAAATCTTTCTCCTAAACATTATCTGCAGTAATCCCCTCCTCCTAGTCCATCATGGCACAGGTCTATCGCCTCAACGGATTAGTTCAGATCTGGCTGGTCGCTAGCGATCGATTTTGTAAGCATTCTTTAGAGAGACTTTACAAAATACACAGGGATGCGAGGAGTCACAATATTTGTTTATTGCGGCATTTTGGGATACAACTGCATTTGTCTTGTGCATTCCTCCTGCTCACGCACGGTAAGAGGGAATTCTTGTTTTGGTTCATGTTTACTTCTGCAATTCATTTCCTTTCTGTGAAAAGAAGTAAAGTTTGGAAAATTAAAAAAAAAAGGATTCCGGAAACCAGAGATTTTCAAAGCTGCCAGAAGATAAACTGTAACCTTAAAAAAGGATGTGTGTTTATTAGTTCACATTCACAGTTCAAAACAACTGTTAAATTAACCGAGAGATGCTTCCAAAGGAGCAGAATTATTTCTCAGCTTTGAAAACCTCTGATTTCCTATCAGGATGGAGATGCTGACCTTTCAGTCTTGCACTGCATCAAGCTAATAACGAGCGACTGCTTTACACCTCTGGGACTCTGCACCGACGTGAGGAAGACACATACGCCACCACGGCCAGCGACAAGGCGACATCCTTCAGGTACAAGGCCGACAGCAGCCAAAGCTTTTGGCCTCCCTTGGAAAGGCTCAAGAGGAAGAAGATGGAGCACATCACCTCTTCTTGGACTGCAGGCACCTCTGCAACGTGGGTCGCAGTGGGTTTTCCCAGCCACAGAGGCAGGAGGAGCGGGAATTTCCTTACGCGTGTATCAAGCGCATACTGTGCCAGACTTCAGGCCCAAAGGGGATCAGCAGAGCAGGGCACTCGGCTGAATCGTGAAGTCTGAACACACAAAGGTCTTCCAGAGGGAGAAACGTTACTGTCATCCCTAAATCAGGAGCACGTTCCAGGCGAGAGCTTCGTGCAGGAGTTGCAGGAGCAGGCAGCAGAACTGGAGACGCACACGACCTACTTGAAGCAAGGGGTCCGCCGGGACCGGCATCCTGCTTCCAGCAGCGGCTCGATGCCTCGGAGGAAGGTGTAAAATTCACCTCACAGCTCAAAAAGCTGCGGTTGAGCGTTTTGCTGGAGCGTGCAATTCCAACTGCTGTGGAAAACAGAGCTCCTACCAAGCTCCTATGTGCTGTCAGCCCCCACGCTTCCCCAGCTATTCCCAAGTCACTCACACCTTGAGTCTCTGCCTGTTTTCTGCCACTAACTCCTCCAAAAATTTAAAAAAGGAAAAAAAAAAAAAAGAAAAAATCACAGCTCCCTCCCATCCCCGTACCGTGCCCCAGAGGAGCGGGTCTGGGCACAGCCACGACCCCACTTTCTGGTTAAAAAGCAGCTATGCAATCACAACTCACTTTCTGCCTGGGTGGTGAGGGGTGCTCCGTTCCCCACGCCAGCAGCATCTCCGTGAGAGACAATGGTCACCTTGATTTTGGCTCGTTTGGAGGATTTGGTGCACTGGGTCGGGCTGGGGGTCTGATGCCTCTTCAGCTGCATACGCACATCATCTTTCTCAGCCCCTTCCGAGTGCTCTGAGGAGACTGGAACTAGGGGACACAGAAGTAGCTTTTTGAAAAGGGGCGATCCCTCGAGGTCAGCGCTGCTCCACTGCATGCACCAAGGTGCCGAGAAGGGACACATGTCCATGCACACTGCCACAGCTCCCTCCATGCCAGCCTTGCCCATCTCCCACGCACCAGGAACCCACGCTTCTCCTTTTCACCATCTACGCCGACTTCCGCATGCCCTAAGCTGCTGTCTTAGGGCCAGGACTCAGCTTAAGCTAGTCACAGGCTGAGGCAGGACAGCATACAAAGTCCGTATTGCCTCTGCAGCGAAGAAAAACAGATGTCTACAGTGATACCACATCTCCACATAAACGCTTTTCATTTCAAAGCGTGGCATAATCAATCCTGGCATCAGGCCCCTCCAACATCCCTAATTTCCAGGTGAGGGGACAAGAGTGCAGAGACTTGCAGAGCTGGCGGAGGGAGGCTGCCGACGCTGGGATTAGAGCTCAGCCCACCTGCTCCTCCGACACACCGGCAAAGGTATTTGCATGCTCGTCGTTCAGCACATCCCTTCCAGGCCCTCCAGGAGCCGGGCTGAAGCGCACAGGTTTCTTAGAGGCGCTAAGCAAAGCAGTTGTGAGCGCGAAAGGTGTTGCAGCAAAGCCAAGCCCCCACATACCCTATGCTGCTTGGTACTAGGGGAGAAAAGCCACGAGCTGAGATTTCTCTTCCGCACCAACGGCTCCTTTTGCTGCCGTGTCCTCGAGCCATCACATCTGTTTTGTCCTGCCTAGAGCACAAACTTGCCAGGGCTATCCCAAAAAAGCACAGAGGACCCACCTCCTGGCAGCCCAGGAACAAAACACGGTCACAAGCTGCCACAAACTGCCCATCCGTTCTCCACGCGTCTCCCATCGCTGGCGTGGGATCGTCTGGCCCCAGCCTGAAATGCTGCTGGACAGGGTCGAAACGAGGACACAGATCTGCCTCCTGCTGTGGTGTTTGCAGCCTGGCAGGGCTCAGAAATG